CTTTTTAACAAATTGTGTAGTAGTGCTATGAAACAGACCACCCATGAACGCTACGCTTATTATGGTTTGTTCTTACTTCCGGTGGTGAGAAATTGTGAATTGAGAATCATATTCGCCTACCGCACTGTGTCTGGCTGGTGGCTGCTTACTGTGCTCTCTAGAGTTATGAAACAGACTACCCATGAAGGTTACCCTTAAGAGTCCATAACTTTGCGAAAAACCAAATTTAGGCAATCAAAGGTGGTGGATGTGTGATGATTTTGTATGGCTTAATTGTTTGTGAATTGGATATCTGATCTTTGTGTGATTAGAGGGGATGTTTGCTTAATAGAATAATCCATTTTAATTCATGTTTATTTTTAACATGAACTTTAGTAACTCAAAACCTTCGAGACACATATCACCTACTGCATTGTATCATTTTGCCTGGGTGCTTGCTGTGTTGTCAAACTTCTTTGCTGCTGCATTTACACTAACAGGGGAGTTAAGAACCCATGAATGTTTCCATTTGACACAAACAGAAGGACTTGCTTCTAAATCGTGCATTAAAGATGATTGGAGGAAACATCTCTGTTGCAGTTGATATACCAGAACAAAAGCAACGTATAACATCAAAACCAACCATCTGAACTATTAGCATTGTTGCTTTACTCTTTTTTCGTGGTTGAGTCTCCTTCCAAATATTTTGTTTGATTTTAGAAAATTTTGCTTCTGCAGTCCTGTCTTGCCACCAACACGTTCAGTAGATGGAGATGGCAGAGGCGAAGGCTATTTTTGTGTTGTTGTTGCATGTTTAGGGATCGGTTTGTGAAGAAGAGGGAGAAGAGAGGGGGGAAAGGGAAATGCAGGAGAGGGGGATAACTCTTTTCCCCGACAAAAATGGAGTGAAGAAAGGAATTATGATCAGTAAGGATATGGTTATCTTACATAACGGTCTCTATTCTGTTTGAATTGAGCTTGGGATGCAGTGATAAGGACGAGCTGCAACCAATTCATAGTGAGAAGAGAGCTATGAACTGTGATCATGTCTTATTTCAAGTTAGAAGGTAGTTTCAGTATAAGGATTATTTAATTTGACAAGTTGTTTCATCCATGATTCTTGGTAGTTTCAGTGTCATTCTAGCCATTGTTTAGTCTGTAATTTTTGAGAATTGATGTGCGAGTAATGACTTTCACTTAGCTTCAACTATTATGTGTGTATTTATTGTCATGTGATAGAATTCTCTTTTCCTTTTCTTTGAATTCAGTTTCATACTCTAATTGTATCCTTTGTACATAGGCAAATCATGCTCGAGATGACAACTCGCTGATATGGCTGGTGCGAGGAATGAAGCCATCATTAGAATTCAGACCGACAACGGGGAGGGATGCCCAGGACTAATTCAATGATGATTGATGATGGTATAATAAAAACTGCAGTCTGCATCATCACCAATTTCTAGGCCTAAGTAAAGTTATTCAACCCAGAACTCTGCTTAGCGCTAAAAATTGCGCTCACCCAACCTTGATCCTGTTTGACCCACTTCTGAAGAGTCAAGATATATGACTAATCCTCCCCGTTCGTATTTTCTTATTGACTCTTTCTGAACCTTTAGGTTGGGGCGGGTCGGGAAGAATCGGATTAGTGGGTCGGTCCTAATCAAGTGGAATCTCAATCCCTTCACTCTCACTTGCTTTCTCTCCCATTCCACAAGTGGGTAACATACAGTAATCCGGCCAACGGGCCGGGTGATAAGCTAGTTAACATATACATGCATGCATGGGATGTACACGGATATATATTTAGGTGGCGGAAGATGGAAGTAGAAATGAACATATAGAATTACAAGCTTTCTGGGTTCATTCGATAATTTTATTTCTTGGAACCTTTGATTAAGTGTGTTGTGGTTCATGGGGTTGATTAAGTTGTTTGGTTATGTAATTGGTTAATGGACAATGTATTAAATTTGTTTCTATGATTTAAAAAGGAAGATCAAGCTCGAGAATCATCGAGGCGAAAGGACGTAGCTAAATAGTTGTATTGTGAGTAAATTCTAACCTAGTAACTTAATTAATACGATCATGGTATTTGGGTCATGAAGTGGCCCAAATATGAGGTAGCAAATTTAATTATGGTAAAGGGCAGTTGTGTGTTTGAGTATATGTTAATAATTATGATATGATGATGATGTCGTGTGATTTATGGTAATGCATGGACATAAAAGTGTTAGGGGAAACCCTCAATGTGAGAATGATAAGAATGTTGATGAGATGAGTATAAAGAGGCGAGAAAGGCCTTTGTGATGATGATAACGATGATGATGAAGTCGATGATGAAAATGATGTTTTTAGTGTTACTGGTAATGCATGTGATGTGGATGATGGTTATGGATTTGATGTGATGTGATATGAATGTGTGTTCTTTGTATGTGTGTGTTAAACGGTTATTCATGCACCTGGAGAATGTGATGGTGTGATAAGTCCCCAGTAAGGACTTTGTGTACATATTCGGTTATGTGCCGAATGCCCGGGCTATGGGAGGAATTCACCGATGCTTTAGGTCGGCGGAGGTGGGGGAGCCTAAGCATCGAGGAGGAGGTGGTGGTGGAGGAGGAGGAGGAGTTGGGAAAGAAGATGATGGTGCATGGCTAGGCCGGAATGGGTGATAGATCCTTTTATGTGAATCATTTTTATGTATGTGTGTGTTGTGATTGACGATGTTCAAATGGGCGTGATGCTATTGTTGTTTATAGAGGTACTGGTTCTATATGTGTCTATGTGCGAGTGTCGAATGTTTATAGAAGTACTGGTATAATGAGAACAAGAAGGGGTATAACGATAACCGTGATTGCTCAATACCTTGTTTATGTTAATTACGATACTGGGTTAGTTTTTACATATTGAGTGACGTCTCAACCCAGTCAATATTTTTCCCAGATCAATAAAAAATGGGTGAAGGCCATGGGATGAAGCAAGTTCGAGCTTGATGATTGTGAGGTGGGCGGCAAACTGAACTCTCCACGTTGTTTTAAATGAGCCATTTGAAGATGAGTTTTTTCAAAATTTTGTTATGGATCAGGAGATTTAAAGATTTTGGTAAATTGATGATAATGATGTATAGTTTTATAAAGGAGAAAAGTAAAGTATATGGGTGTTACATTTCGGTGTATGTAACACCTTAGGCAAATCCCACATCGACAAAGCACGGGAGAGATCCATGGTTCATAAGTAAGAAACCCACCTTAACTGACAAGACGCGTTTTGGGGTGTAATGGAGGAGTTCTTGTGAGAACTCTGAAGTTAAAGGTGCTCAGTGTGGAGTACAACAAGGATGGGTGACCTTATGGGAAGTCACCCAGAATTGCACACCAAGTCGAAAACCGTGTGGATGTAGAGGCCCAAAGCGGACAATATCTTGTCTGGAAAATGTTGGGATGTTACAAGTGGTATCAGAGCCTCTCCACGTCCCTCTTGAACGATGGTGGGGCAAACCTCAACGAGGGTGTTGAGTCCCGGGAGGAGGGGGGGGCCAAAGCGGACAATATCTTGTCTGGAAAATGTTGGGATGTTACAAGTGGTATCAGAGCCTCTCCGCGTCCCTCTTGAACGATGGTGGGACAAACCTCAACGAGGGTGTTGAGTCCTGGGAGGGAGGGGGGGGGGTGTATGTAACACCTTAGGCAAATCCCACATCAACAAAGCACATGAGAGATCCATGGTTCATAAGTAAGAAACCCACCTTAACTGACAAGATGCGTTTTGGGGTGTGATGGAGGATTTCTTGTGAGACTCTGAAGTTACACGTGCTCAGTGTGGAGTACAACAAGGATGGGTGACCTTATGGGAAGTCACCTAGAATTGCACCCCAAGTCGAAAACCGTGCGGGTGTAGAGGCCCAAAGAGGACAATATCTCGTCAGGAAAAGGTTGGGATGTTACACTTTGGTGCAGTGAAATATATGGCTTTTAAGGTCTTCTATGAAATTGCTCTAGGTGTCGGTCAGTTTCACCTATAATTAAGTTAATTTCCTGTTCTATCCAATTCTTTGCTGGAGGAGTCTTCAATGTCCATTTGTCAGCCACACTTTATCTTAGAAACATATTTTAATAGAGTGGAGTTGGGGAATATTTATTTATGTTAATCTCAAGTATCTTCTTTGGATAATGAGGAGACATGGTAATGACGAGACCTAATGAGACATCATAATAGTGAAGTATAGTTTCTCGAATTCCTTATATATACTTTTGGGTGCTTCAAAAACACACACATCTAGGGTACAGTATACTTTGAGCAAGAAAACACTATCTGGACCTCGAATTGACCAAAGTTTGACATCTGGTACTATTCCCAAACCCTTAAAGATTAAAATCAAGGTCTTAATTCTATAAATCTCATACATTAAGATCAATTTAATTAGAAACAAAAATCGACGGTCATGATTCGTCGAAATATATGCAACAAATTACATGCACAATCTTAGGGGTTAGACTCTATGATTTTGAAAACTAAGACCTAGGGTTCGCTCATCATAGGTTAGGGTATAGTATCAAGCCTAGAAATCTGGTTAATTCGAGGTCTAGATAGCGTCTTCTTACTCAGGGTATGTCGTACCCTAGATTTTACCCAAGGTACGATAGAAGCCACCATATATATATAGGTCACACTCGTATACTCCTGACGCATAGCATGTGCCAGTTTTTTCACACTGTTGATTTAATCTGATGGCATGTATTAAATATAATAAAATTATCTATTATTTACAAATTAAAAATAATTAATTGATTCTCTTACATTTTCATACGTTCACTTTAATCCCACAACAAATTATTTCAATTATTTTCATTGTACGGTACCTAACTTCTTTTAATCATAACGTAAACATCCAAAACTTTTTCCATCAAAAACAAAAAAAAAAACATCCCAAACTCTGATCGCCATTTCAACATCTCAAACAAACGGTGGCATTTCAACATCTAAATTCCCCACCCATATCCATAATAAAAAATTCACAATCGTCGAACCCCCTGTCTACCCCAGCCCCGGTCACCCTTTCCACGCCGACCCCGATCACGCCGTCTACCCTGAGCCGCACGCCGCTGTACTCCCCCTCGTCGCCGTCATCTTCCGGAAGTTCGACGCCGAACTCTTCCTCTCCTCCCTCCAACTCGTCGATATCGACCGGAATGGTGGTCGGGATTGAAATCGGAGGAGTATTTGGCAACAATGAAGCCAGTTGCTACGCACTTCCACCGCAACCTGGCCCCAAAGGTTTGATTTTTCCGTATCATTTCCCTCGCCCTCCTCTAAAATTCCAGAAGAAAATTCTCGTTTGTGGAGGCAAGGGTCATGCACTTGCCCTCAATCATATGGTAACAAGGTATGGTGGTGGTCATTCAAACCAACAGATTGGTGGTTTCTGAACTCTCCAAAGTACAGGCCAGCCAGTTGAGGTATTAGTAAGTAGTTCATAGAAATAGAGGCGCCAATTTACAAGTAATTCGTCATCCTGTATCATCTTGTTGAAATTCAATTTTCTGCCTTTGTTAAGTTTTTGTTTTTGTACAGTATCAGGGGTCTGAATGTTTCAAGACACAGCTTCATTTACTTATGGAGCTGGGCCTTCTGTTTTTCTGAGTTTTTGTTTTTTTCTGGAACCTATTGACCTGTGTTTCATCACAAAAAGAAATTTATAGTTTGGTTACTTGTAATTTGGTTCTTTGTGACCTGGTTTCTTATCTGATATGATCTCAATTTGGCCCTTAATACGACTGGAATTGACTGATCAGGAAGGCAAGCTAAGCATGTTGAAGAATGTTAACTTTTGCCCAAGTGTTCTTGACGATTTCATGTACTCACTTTGGACAAGCTTAACTCCTTATTGGCTTGGTGGAAATACGAGTTCTTGGGCTTGTTTTGGACTAGAAGAGCTGATATTTCACATGGTTTACTTAGGAGCTCAAGAGGGAGTCCAGAAGCTAGTTTTTCAGGACGATCAATATGCTAGATCAACACTGGAAAAGCTTCTAGAATTGTTGAAGTATGGAAACCGATTTGAGAAGGGACTAGATATTATAACAACACCTTTTGTGTTGTTATTGTAACAACACTAGCCTCCAACCAATAGGAAGCTAGGATTATGATGACTTTTTATTAGATGAGTTGACCTAGTGTAAAATCAAAGTAGGGGTATAATTGTCATTATGAAAAATATGTTTAAATAATAATAAAAAAATAAAAAAATAAAAAAATAAAAAAATAAAAAATAATAAAAAAATATTTTTTTATTTTTTGCCAAAAATTTTGGTCGCCGGAATTCGGCCACCGGTCGCCGGAATCTGGTCGCCGATCACCGGAATATGCTTTTCGTCGTCGGAATATGCTATTTTCTCATCGGAATATGCCACCGGCGCCGGAATATGCTTACCGGCGTCGGAATATGCTTACCGGCGACGGAATCTAGTCATCGGGGCCGGAATATGCTTATCGGCGCCGGAATCTACTCACTGACGGTCATCGGAGTTCGGTCAACGAACTTCGTTGACCGGTCAACGGTCTTCGTTGACCGGTCAACGGTCAACGACCACCGGATGTATGGTCTACATTGTGAAATTTATGGTTTGGTTTCTCATATTTTCGTATGCCTTTTGTGGTTTGCTTTATCGTGTTTGTGGTTTGCGTTGAGAAGTTTCTGGTTTGCTTTATCGTGTTTGTGGTTTACATTGAGAAGTTTCTGGTTTGCTTTCAAAAATTTTGTGGTTTGCATTGTGAGATTTCTGGTTTGTTTTAGTAGATTTTTGGTCTGAATTAGGACGTTTCTGGTTTGCTTTTTTGTGGTTTGATTTACTGTGTTTGTGGTTTGCATTATGAGGTTTCTGGTGTGCTTTCACAAATGTTTTGGTTTGCATTGTGGGGTTTCTAGTTTGTTTTGGGAGATTTGTGGTTTGCATTAGGAGGTTTCTGGTTTGCATTAAGAAGTTTCTGGTGTGCTTTCGAAACTTTTGTGGTTTGCTTTGCGAGGTTTCTGGTTTGTTTTAATATATTTATGGTCTGCATTAGGACGTTTTTTGTTTGCTTTACCGTGTTTGTGGTTTGCATTAGGGGGTTTCTGGTGTGCTTTTCAAAATATTTATGGTTTGGTTTGTGAGGTTTCTGATATGTTTTAGCAAATTTGTGGTTTGCATTAGGAGGTTTCCGGTATATTTTTGTGGATTGTTTTTATTGCATTTGTGGTTTGCACTAGGGAATTTTCGGCGTCTACAAACAACCATTTTTTTTAATTGCTTACTTACTCTGTCAATGCTGGGTGATCTCGTAACAATATGTTTCTTAATTCCCCCACCCCACATTACTGAACACCATTAATCCCCCAAAAGCACTTGACAGATCGTGAAAATAGTCCATCTCATTCTCATGAGCAGTCTTCAAGGACCAATCCACCCAATCTGAACTTCGTCTTCCTCGGATTCGCCTGGTTCTGCTCCATCGCGTCGGTCGGAGTCACGTAGAACACCATCTGGTCCTGGAAATTGTTCAGGACGATGACGATGAACCCGGCCACGCAGCTGAACGCGAGCGCGTAGGTCCACAGCCGCCTGGTCTGCATCTGGCGAGCTCGGGCTCCGATGTCCACGGTCTTCGGCCGCGCCGGGTGGCGCCCCGCCGTCGAGAAGAGCCGGGGACCTGAGATGTTCAGGACGATGACGATGAACCCGGCCACGCCGCTGAACGCGAGCGCGTAGGTCCACAGCCGCCTGGTCTGCATCTGGCGAGCTCGGGCTCCGATGTCCACGGTCTTCGGCCGCGCCGGGTGGCGCCGCGCCGTCGAGAAGAGTCGGGGACCTGAGATCGAGGCGGAATCGTTGTAAACTGCACGGAGATCTGAAATCGATGAGAGAATCAACCGCTCCGATATGGCGGCGGAGGCGATCTGGCGAGTGGAGGAGAAGAAGATGCTTGTGCAGGAGGAAGAGGAGCCGGCAGCGGAGGTAATTTCGTGGAGCGGAGGAGCTGCGATCTCAGTCGGAGGAGGACGGAGCGAGAGGCCATCGTGCGACGGCGGCGGCGATTTTGATTTTAGTGCGAAGAAAATGCGTAGGATTAATTATTATTTATTATTTTTATTGTTAATTTACGAGTATACCCTTGTTGTTATGATAACAACACTTAGGGTGTTGTTATGCTATCTGGCCCCATTTGAGAAGGGTTATTTGAAGCTTGATTCATGGAAATGGGAGAAGAGTCGAGCTTCCACATTCACGCCACATGAAAGCAGGTTTCTTCTAGTGTATCGAAGGGGCAATGGATGATCAAGGTGATGTATGGAAGGGCTCGTACAAGATCGCTTCGAGACTGGAAATTCTGCCTCAAATATTAAGTAATCTGAATCCTAGTCGGATTAGGATTAGTACACAGTTTGAGTTTAGTTTGTTTTCGAGTTGGTTTTTTATTCCTTTTCATTGTAGAATTGTAAGTGAACTTCCTTAATCGTTGTTAGGGTTTACTAGGTCTATTTAAGCCGAGTTGATTCATTGTAATGGTTGGTTTTTGCTCAATTGAATACAAAGTTGGCTTTGGTTCATCTTGTTCTTTGCTTGACGAATTTGAGTGGATTGCTTAGGCGTTTCTAAGCAATCGAGTGCTTGTATCGATCAGCTAGTCACGCTGATTCGTGGCCAAGCTTCTACCCTAAGCTTCCAGCCTTTCTCCCTTAGTGAGGATTGCACGAAGTTCCATCCCCATTCATCGACTTTACCCCTGTTTCTGTTCGAGAAATTGAATTGAGAGTTCAATTCAATTCTTAAACTGCACAACTCTGATCTCAAACCCTATTTAGGGTTTTATCATTATCCTTAGTGATACTATGTGCTTATGGTGTAGCGAAGACTACCTATTCAATTTGTCTCATTCTTGCATTGATGACGGTAGAAACCAAGCCTTTGGAATATAATTATTTTAGCTTGATTCTTTTGCAAGATGTTAGTGGCCAACATTGACAATCATATTGTGCTGAAATGCCTAGTTTGACAATTAGACCCACTGGTTCAAGTTCCCCAAACAGTGGGAATAATCTGTTGGTGTCAAGCTTCTGCATTCTAAGGCGTCAAAGGTGATGTGTCCTTTTTGCTAGTCACCAGTAGTACCCACAATCTTCCTCAAGATTCCATCCACCTCCAATTGCCTAGACATACAACAGCACAAAGTCAATGGTCAATAAACAGTTGCCTAGTCCAAGTACAAACAAATTTGTGTTAACCAACATTCACGCAAATCAGATAAACCTAGCTCTAAATAAAAACAAAATCAGAGAAAGAGAAAGAGACTAACTTAACTATCTACTTCAGACTTCGTCGTATGTGGATCAAAATTAAGCAGACTGACCATGATGCAATGTTCATCTTGCTAGAATGCAATGAAGCTTACTAGAATGCTCTACAGCCTCAGATTTACCTTTTCCATATCCACCAAGTAGCCACCAAGACTTTTGAAATGCTCCTGGAAATGTCATCAGAATATACTCTTTAACATTTTATGCGATTGGGGTTTAAAGTTTAAACTAAAACCAGTACTGTCTCGTGATGAATGAACAAATACCTCATGAATCTCCAGGGTAGGCATGTGGGGAAAAATATCATTCCCAATCCCAGCAAAGGAGCATATGAACACGAAATCATCAATGGCATGATATACATCACACTTAAACTTCTCAGGAGGATCAGAGATTCTCATGTCAATCTAAAGCTACTCCCTCAGAATCCAAATGTGGAGGAACTGCAAAATGCTTAACTGAAGAGAGTTAGCATATGGAACCTAATTAAAGTCCATAAGGACTATAACCATATTGCAGCTTGCTAAACACATCAAACAATATGAATCATAACCTTATATTATCTCCCCGAAAGAAGATGCAGGTTTCTTAGCTAATGGTTCCCTTCTTCAACTTTCGCATCCTTTAACCATCCTCTCGACTTGAATGATTTTGTCTCCACCGTCAAAAGGCTACTCATCAAAGCACAATGGTTGCTCTTCTTGGAAAGCCACATCCTACACAAGAAATCGGTCTTCTAGACGAATAATTATAACAAACGGACACATCAACAAGATGATGAATCAACAAATCACCTATCGTAGTATCAAGAAGTGGACTTCGTGTGTCACCAGAGCCAGAATGATCAAGTCACTATCCTGTTTTCAACATAATAATCATCAAATCACAAGGTAGCACAGCAACATGAACAAATGTGATTGGGATTATTGGTTTTTTTTTAGTTTCAATACCAGGCCATAGAGGCAATGGCGGTATTCAGGTTGTAAACAGAGTGGGAAGGCTGCTGCCAAATGAAAGACATGATATTATGTTCCCCTCCACCAGAACACTTGCATATAAAAGCACACCTTTGATCTCCGTTTTCTGAATAAGTTGTTTGCCTTCTGTCTCCTCCATTGCTTCTTCTGCTCCAGAATTAATTGCTATGGGGAATGAACTCGTCAGAGCTAAGAAATGGTTCTGACTTGTGTCAATTTTGGCATGGCAGAAAGAGATGAACCTGCGGTTGGTAATGTTGTATATGGAGGAAGGAATTTTATGCCATAGCTGTGTGGCTACAATGTCATCTTTAGTTATGGTATGCATTGCATGGGAAAAGTGCAAGCTTGGTTGAATTATGAAGACATCAAGAGGGTATTAAATTATACCTTTCTCATTTTTATACTTGATACAATTTTCCGAGTACCTTGTCTGAAAATGTTATTCCTGAGAGATGACGAGGAATGTGTTTGATTTCCTTGCGCGGCTCTAGCATAAGACATATAGGAAGAACAGATGAAGATATTGTCATGTGAATGTATCTCAAACCATCTTTTCAGTTGTTCATGGATAAAAGATGCTTACAAGACTATTCTCTCCATAATACTGCTCCAAATCTCTTGATCTAAGCACATAAATCCACTGATTTCACTTTTGCAAAAAAGTAAAAACACAATCACTAGTTCGGACTTCATCGTATGTGGATCAAAATTAAGTGGACTGACCATGATGCGATGTCCATCTTGCTTGGGATTCCTTTCTCCAGGGTGGAGACAAGTGAACCAGCTGATCTTCAGGCAAAGGGATCGGTTAGCTTGCTAATCCCTCTATGGGTTGGAAAAATGACACCCTCTATTAATTATGGTATTAAATTCGTGTTGCATTAAATAATCTTTGGGAATTAAAAACTCAAATAAATTACATCGCACATTTACACTGAACACATATTAATTAACATTCCTTTTTTTTAACTACCATTGCACTGATAGAACTATCATTGCACCTGTACATTGATACTATTGCACTGGTAGAACTACCACTGCACTGAAAAGAGGAAAGTAATTAATATGAGTTTTTTCATTCATCCGGACGTCACCGACGAGTCTACTGACTCCTTCACAGTTAGAAGGAAAGAGATAATGCTTCAGTGGTGGGAGAGAAGCGTTATATGATTAGAACTAAAAATGTTTTTATTTGATAACCCAGGTTAGAAGGAAAGAGATAATGCTTCAGTGATGGGAGAGAAGCGTTATATGATTAGAACTGAAAATGTTTTTATTTGATAACCCAGGGAACCTCAGCCCCACGTGCCGCTTGAGCGACAGCGGGGCCTACTAAACCACTGGGGGTACTTGCATACTAACCGGGGCTTTCTGCTACTAACATCGCGGAGGCTTCGCCTCCGATACCAAGGGTGCCGCCGGGAACGCTCAAGTGGCGCCACTGGGAATCGAACTCAGGACCTCCCACATCCAGAGCTCAACTGATCCAGTGGTTTCACCACTAGGCTATGTTACCTTTGGCAGAACTGAAAATGTTGGAGGGAATAGTTTAATTGTACTTGCAATTAGTTTGGGTGGAGTAAAAATGAGCGGTGAACTGAAAAAGCCGGAGGGAAAATTTAATTTTATGAAAAATTAAATTTTGAGGGAAATTTAAATGGAATTATTTTGGGCGTTATTATGTGTATCTCAAGGGGGCAAATTTTCTGTCGTCAAATTTTGGTTAGACAAAAATTTGAAGGGATTTTTCCCTTCTAATATTTCGGCAATTAAAATTTTCTCTTCACTAATATGGAGGGATTCTTATATTATTTCTTTGAAATTAAACAATCATAATGTAAACCACATATCTATCCATATACAGAAATGTGTAAGATTACTCCAAATAGACTTTTGAACTGTGAAATAGCCAATATTTCAACAACAAAAAACAAATAAAAAATTGTGCATCCACGCTAAAAGCTAAGTTTTACAAGCTGAGTTTATGTTATTTGTGTCCCAAAATAAATAATCTTTGTCGGAACATCTAGTGAGACAAAATAACTCAAAAAAATTCGTTGAAATACATTAACATTATACTTGAGTTAGCCACCAAGTTATAAATAGATATTGATTATAGATAGTATTGGATTCAAATATGTTCATAAGCAACATAAGTCTAGGCCATATTTCAAATTTTCAGCAACACAATCAAAGTTCATATTGTCACTTTGCATGGTATTTTTTGTCAAGACCTTTTGTATCAATAACTCAAGTTGTTGGGAAAGAGTTAATAATGGACCTTATACTATTTACTATTTATTAACACTTCCCCGCTAACAAAAAGCAATTTGTACGTGCTTAAAGTTTTTGTGAATCTAAATACCATCTATTTAACAAACGAGGTAGCCAAGATTCGAACACATGATCTCTTGACAACCATTCTCAATTAGAAGTGCTCTAAATTTCATTCTCAATTAACTATAATACTACCCTAAAAAATTAACTATTATACTAATTTAGTCATTTTTGTGCTTAGGAGCCACTGGCACCCGACCCGTTACACTCACCTTACCCTTGATTGAAATACAATTATTTTTACAAATTACCTATGATTTGTTGTAAATTTGTTGTTTATATTGAGTAAATACATCTTTAATTTGGGCATATCATATGCACCATTGTCATTTGTACATAACTCGTTATGCAAGCATTATATATGCCAAAATACAACTTATAAATCATAGATCAAATATTTGAAT